AGATCTCGTATTAAATTTTTGTTTGATTTACCAAAACAAAGAACTTACTGGCATCACTAAATCTGTACACAATCTAATTTTGCAAACATAAGTGGAAAAATCTTACAAGAGTTCAGACCATCCCAAGCCAAAGTGTTGTTAGCCAATAAATTTACCTGTGCCAAAATCTCATCACCCAGATCAATAAAGGAATCTGCAAATGAAACCTTTGCAGGCCTGTCAACCCCAAACAGAACATCTCTCCTTTGGAGACGCTTGAAAGCATCCATGGCATCTGAGCGAGAAAAAAATTCCAAGAATGCAAAACCCCGATTCTTTCCTTCATTGTTGGTGTCTTCCACCAATGTTATGTCCTCAACATTCTCAACACCATAATGTTTCAACTTCTCTTTCAACTACAAAAAAAAAAAAAAAAAGTTAGGGAGGAAAACATTATCCACTGAAACCAGATTAACAGATGACTTAAGCTTGTTAATGACCTAAGGAAAACCACTGTACTTACAGCTTCCTTAGTCCATGTCTTGCATATGTTACCCAGAAAGAGGGTGTCACTGTCTTGGCTTGGAGTAACACCACACTGTTTCCCATTGATCTGGAATTGCATCAATTAAAAGAACATGGTTTAAGATGTGAAGCCAAATCATTTGACAATCAGATAAGCTAGAGCATCAAAGTTTTAGTAATTACCACAGGATTCTTGAGCTCTATAACTGCTCGTTTTGCTTGTTCAATGGTTGCAAATCGCAAGAATGCAAACCCCTTATTTTTCTTTGTTTGAGGGTTCATCATTAGCCTAACATCAACAACTTCACCCACCAGACTGAAGACCTTCCTTATATCCTCTTCAGTAGCATCCTTGTCTAAACCCCCAACAAACACCTCAAACTCTTTACGCTTACGTCTCTCTTGAACAACTTCATGGCGCTCTTCATGCTCAGCCACATCAGCTAAGTCTGCACGCTCAACTTCCTCAGCAGCATGCTCATCATCGTCAGCACCCTCTCCATCAGGGACATCTTCTTCTTCTTCTTCTTCTTCTTCTTCTGACAGATCATCCTCTTTCTCCTCAACATCAGGCTCCTCATCAGGCTCTTCCTCAACCTCATCTCCCACCTCCTCTACATCCATCTCTTTCTCATCATAATCCACTCCCGCATATTCTTCGTGCTCATATTCAGGATCATTATCATCCAATTCCAACCGCTCATCTTTCTCATATTCATCAACAGACCCCTTCATCGCATCCTCTTCTGCCATGAGAAAAAGGAGTAGATATTTGAAAACAGTCAAGAAAAACTCAAATACTGTAAATTCTTATCATATTGCACTAAAATAGTCGATTTTATCTGCATCACAGAGTTACAGACAATTAGGAAAAAAAATCCAAGCTCACAAAAGAATAAATAAATAAATAAAAAACCCCATAAATAAATATCTTGTGCCAGAGAAAATTCCAAGTTTTGAAATCAACTGCAAATCAACTGCACATGCCCAACATGATAAGTGGCAAATAAATGTGTCAAGGCAAAGCAATAAAACGTACTCTTTGTATAAATGGTTTCGTTCAGGTCGAATTTCGCTTCGACCTCCCCCTCCTCCTTGACAACCGCCTTCTCCTCAATCACCAACTTCTCCTCCACAATTGGCTTGTCTTCAACCTTAACATCTTGGATCACGACCTTCACCTCTTGTCTCACTTCCACGGGCGGAACCGAAACATCCTTCACCGCCTCCTCAGCAGGTTGGGAATTCTGCACCTTTGATGCCCCTCTCGTGGCCCTCACCGTCCTCCTCTGCCCTGCAGCTGCGGCTCCTCTTTTTACTACTCTAGGCGGCATTATTTCAATTTCTCCCCGAACCCAATGCTCCAAATTCCACAATCTAATAGAAAAACTTGCTGATTATTCCCTCTACCAAAAGGGGGGAATCAAGACACCAACTTGATTAAAGCCCTACCTCAATCCAAACAGAATTGAGAGACAGACTCCAGGGATTGATGGATATAATAAAAAAGATGTGCGATTACATCAAAATCCTAACCCCAATTGGAGAAAGAAAACTAGAATTCGATGAGGAGAGAAAACAAACAAAACCCTAATTACAGTTCTTTCGATTTGGGAATCTGATCCCCAAAAAAAGCAGCACCTGGGTCTGCGTAATGAAAGCCAAGTCAGCGGGATAATTCTAATTTATATTTTATATTACACGTGTTGGAATCTGAAAGGGACACGTGTTGAATATTAATTGGGCAGTGGCCTCTCGGTCCCTGCTCATGTCATGGCCCAATGATAAAAAATAAATTTTAAAAAGAGGCTATTATTTATCGGGACCAAAGGCCCACTACAAAAAGGCTCTTGTTGAATATTATTCGGGCAGAGAGATATCCGGGCCCGGCCCAAAAGGTAATTAAATTACATTTGCCTCCTCTTCCCGTTTTTTGAACGGTGGGAAATGGGTGCATGGGAGGGTAAATAGTTACAATAATGCTACAGTGCGGTTGTAGCTTGAACCCTTAACTAAGTGGTTAGAATCATTGCAATCCCTCATGTGTACTATAAAATATAAAGTAGAATTATCCATTGGGCAGCAAAAGGAATGCACTCAACTCCGAGACCTTCTTACAAAACAACAGATACTAACATTAATCTAACCATTTCTTCTTATCAGAAAAAAAAAAAAAAAAGTGGTTAGAATCATTGGTGAACTTTTAATGCGGCTAATGCAAGGTATGTTTTCCCATTGTTAACTTGTTATATGATGTTATCAATCCATTAATCAAAAACAATATCAATAAATATGGTAAGAAAGGATACCTTTAAAACATACAGAGACAAGTGAGAATATTAAGTTAAATTAAATAGGAGGGTTTTTTTCCAACCTTACGTTATATTAAATATGTAATTAATATATTTTTTAATAATTATTTTATGTTAAAAAAGTAAAAATTGTGCTTTAATTTGTGACTGTCCAATTAAATTTATTTAAGTGATATTAATACTAGAAATTAATATTACTTTTTATTTTTTATGTAAATTAAAGACTAAAAATTGTATTAACAGGTGAGCAAAATCCTTAAAAAGAAATACCATTGGAATTCATTTTAAACTTCAAAATTATTGTATAAAACACAAATTCAGAATAAAAAATATAGATGGACAGTAATTAATATTCACTCTAATTTAACACATTGTACAACATATATATTAAAAAATCACTATTTCTTATTTTAAAATTAAAAGTAAACAAGTTTAAAAATATAATTATACACAAGATATAAAAACTGATTAAATGAGTTGCATTTATACTAAATTTTTAATAAGTAAATAAAAACTATGTCAGAAGAATGTATCAAAAAATGTGTTAAACTAAAAAGTATACAGATCATTTTCCTTTCCATTAACATTGTAGGAGTTTATTTGAATACATTTAGATGTTAATATCAAATTATAGAAATATATGGAGACGTTTAAAAACAATTTTTTCTTAAAAAAAAAAAAAAAAGGGTTCAGTTTGGTTTTTTAGTAATATTATTATTGTTGTTTGTTTTCCATGAATTCCAACATCCACTGTGCCCTGACCACTGAAAATTCCAAGTTTGGTTGCGTGCAACGACCTTTCCATATTTCTCCTCCACCACCTTAAACTTCTTCCAGTCACGGAGAACGGTCGCTAAATCTCGGAGCTTAGCGCTTATGTGGCGGCAACAGTTTGCATGCACGGTGGTTACAGCTCGAACATCATTGCTATCCTGACAGAACCCGCTGAAAAACCGGGTGTCCAGAAACCTTACTCGGAGTTCCATCTGCCCAAACAATCCGGCACGCATCAGCTCCACGAGCACATCTTGCTCTTTCTTCCCCGTGGAGTTGTCCTTTTGGGCATACCACAAGGCAAACAACGAAACAGTCTTGCTGTTTGCTCGGACGTAGTAGAATCCAGTGTTGATCATGTTCTTCTCCGACTGTGGATCGCCATTGAACATGTCAACGCTGATTTGGAGGTCGTTAGTGACTGTGTCATCATGGTTTAGTCTTGAAAATGGGTTCCGCAGCCACATTACATCCATATCCTGGCATCACGTAAGCACAAATAATCAAACCCGTGTTGGGAAAGCAAAGTTTAATCACTAATTAATTTGGTAAAAGAAAAAAAAAATTACATTAGTTAGTGGAGGAAGTTAAACCTAATTCTGACTTTACATGGTTAATTAGCTAGATGTATTTATATAGATCCAGCTAGAGCCTCCACGTTTTTCATAAGAAATCAAAACATAAGAGGAAAAACAGATGAAAAACCAACCACACACTTCCTCTTTAGTCATTTTCAAACACAAACAGATGAACAAATCCTGTCCCTATCCAGAGAAAATTCAGACTAATAATTCAACAATTGTCAGATATCATAATAATTGAACAACTGTCGGCAAGTCAACAAAAAAGGTGACGAAATTTTGGGCTTTTCGTGTTTTAATAGTATAAGTCTAAAATGTAATAAATATTTATGTATTATAAATTTATATTAAAAAAACAAAATTTAACTTGTAATTTATAATTATTTAATTAAATTAATATATTTGATATGTACATTAAAATCAATGTTAATTTTTATATTTTTTTATATACATTTGAGATAAAAAAAATTTAGACATAGGTTTTACCAAAAATTTTATTCAAACTAATTTTTCCTTTTGTATCACTTAAAAAAAAAAGAAAAAAGAAAGAAAAAAGAAAAAGAAGGAAGAAAGCTGTCGTGGAGCGAGCAAGCGGCGAGAACAATGGCTACTGGAATTTCCACGTGAGGCGCCGAATGACCGACGGAGACGTGTGCCCGGAGCGGTCATTTCGGGCAAGATTTAACGTTGATCAATAGCCTTATCCCACGTCGTACAAGTCCGCATCAATGCCGTCCAAATTCCGGACCTCAGCATGATACTACTTTTATAAGTAATATGGTATTGAATTGAAAATTGATGCGTTGATTTGACCCTACCCTTCACGTTCTTCGTTAGGTCGTTAAATTCAAACCAACTATATCTCCTAATTAATTATCCTTGCCGTCCTTAATTAATCTTACTAAAATATTTCCCTAATCCTTGCCGTAGATTAATAAATTATTAAATTAAAT